CAGGCACCTTGCATTACTGCGGTAGTTAAACAACGCCAGCTTTGTTCACGGGATTCGTTACCTCGTCACGGACACTACCCGGACATCCTCGATAGGAGGTAAATAAAGTCATCCGGGTTCTTTAGATAGGTGGGAATTTACGGTAAACAAAGTGGCTTATAAACTTATTTCCAAACTGGATATTAGTTTCCAATACATATTATTTGTAATTATCTTTTGGGAATAATGCCTTTTTTCGGGGGGCGAGAGTTGGCGGCATTTGGACGATTAATGAATAATTGATGGCGGAAAGGAATGTGTTGTTGGCGGTGGGCCGTAAAGGTAGCTCGGCCATGATTGGTCATTTCGTCGGAAGGGTGTAAAAGCCATATCATGAATTAGCCTATTGTTTGTCCCGAAGATTTTGGGTATATCGCAGGGGCCCGATTTTTTTATTTTTGATTCGTGCTTTAAATGATTCGACTTTTCCGGCGAATCCGGGCACTTCTCCTTGTACCCTCTCCATAAGCAATTTAACGGCCGTTTATTTCTCTGGGATTTTTGTACAAATAAAGAGGTAGCATAATAGATTTATAATAGATAATAGATACGATAGATATAGGATGATAGTACTAGATACGTAAATAGATAGAAGATAGATTTATTTATTCCTGCAGGGTATGGTAATAGGAACCTTGGGTGGGCAGAACACTTACATTTGTACATATACAACTCAAGAATAGTAATACACATGTACATTTTAAAACATTTTAAGGCAATAATAACAATATAACAATAAAAACTAACAGCAATACCTATAACACTTTATGACTGCCCCTGCACGGAATTTTTAACTAATAAATACACACTGCACTTCACTTCACTTCACTTCACTACACTTGCATTTCACACTTCGCTACACTACACATGCACTTCACTTCTCTATTGTCTACACCTTCACAACACTTCACGGACACACTCAATTCAACTACTACTTTAAATATAATTGTATATTTACCCAAACCATGTATTTAATAGTGATTATCACAAATACAATATTTTAAAATAACAATTTATAATAAAATTATAACTAAAATAATAACTATTTTATAAGCCTAACTATACCAATGTCCCTAAGAATTATCTTACTTTTGAAACCCTTTGTACAACCTAGAGGGAAGGGTTCCCATGGGCTGGTCGGCAGGGTAAACTTATTCCAGTCCGTTATTGTATCCTATTTATGGGGAATGAAAAAATTTTCCACAACATCTGTTTTTCCTGGGGGTTTCCTGAACCTGAATTTTGTTGTGGATTGGTGCATCCCACACTCCTATCTAAAGTAAGGTGCGGGTCCTATCGAGCTCCGGAATGAAACAATACCTTTCAAAGCTGGATAACCCAGGCATACGCCTTTGGGCACCACCGGGTACATTGGCACCTAGGGAGTCTTGGGGCTTAGCCCCTCCTGAGTTCTGGGAGGACTCCCCATTCCCACCTTCCTTCTCTATTCGCTGCCGCGAGAACGGGTGGGCTAGTTTACCAACCCTCCTTCTCTGTACTCTATTCCAAATATTCCCTTTGGGAATTACCTACAAGGGTCCCCCAACAAATGGCCCCCGGTATTCGCCAGTTATGGACGAACTAAAGATAGGTAAGGCTAATTCTCCTCCGCTTTTTGCAGTTACTCTTTTTTTGTATTCGCGACATGTAAAAATGCCAAAGACCCCTTCCCCAGGGCGGCTTTCCCTACCGGACAAACTTAACCCTGATTTTCCCAGTTTATTTGCTATCAAATATATTAATTCCCAGGTACTTACACAGCCAGGACCTCTTGAATGCTTTTTCGTGTGCCTTAAACCGGTATTGGGGACTTTCCCATACTTTTGGGCGGACCCCCTATCAAAAAAGTAATGGTTTTGCCTTTTTTTGGGGAACCATATATTTACTATCATGCCTAACATTTTTTTCTGCCCAGAGTGTAATCTATGTAGATCATTCCTGCGGCAAAATATCCTCGTCTTACTTGTGATTGGGAATAACTCGGACTATATTATACAGTGCAATCCTGGGCAAATCAGGTCTTACCTTGGGAACATAAAATTGTCTTGGCAGGTCGTTTACAAACGGGAGACACAGCCAGGGAGTTGGTCCAATAACCGGCCTTCCTTGAGGGGGGGATCCCCCCTGAAGAAACCTTCTGGCCAGGGGTTTGAAAAAATTGGTTGGGTCCCAACCTTCCCGACTTTCTATTTTCCTATCTCGGAAGAAACTCGATCAAACCCCCACCCCACAACTCTCTGGTGTCAGTAACCCGGGAATGGCATTAATTATGGAAACCTAGTTTATCGTGGTAGATAACACTGGGTAGATTTAAGGGATTATTTATTTTTTAATGATATA